TGACTGCCCCCTCCTTTCATCTCCTCGCCTCTTAAGATCTACATTTAAGTCATAGCTTAAGTCCCACTTCCTCTACAAAGCCTTTCCTGCCTCTTACTAATCCCTCTGTCTCAATTTATCTGGTACCTTTCCTCCATAAAAATAATTTCTAATTTTTTTAAGTATCACAAACCACCATGGGCCTTATTGAAAGGCAATATGTATGGTGGTCAATAGTGTGAGCTTTGGGCTAAGCGCTGTGGCTCACACCTGTAATCCCAGCACTTTGGAAGGCCGAGGTGGGAGAATAGCTTGAGCTCAGAAGTGTGAGATCAGCCTGAGAAACATAGTGAGACCCTGTCTCTACAGAATGTTTTCAAATAGGCAGGTGTGCTGGCAACAGCCTATGGTCCAGCTACTCAGCAGGCTGAGGTGGGAGGATTGCTTGAGCCTTGGAGTTGAGGTTGCAGTGAGCCATGACTATGCCACTGCACTGTAGCCTGGGCAACAGAGAGATAACACACTCTCCCTACCTATTTCTCTCTATATATACATATGTGTGTGTGTGTGTGTGTATGTATATATTTAGTATTAGTTCTCACATTGCTATAAAGAACTACCTGGGACTAGGTAATTTGTTTAAAAAAAAAAAAAAAGAGGTTTAATTCATTCACAGTTCTACAGGCTGCACAAGAAGCATGGCTGGGGAGGCTTCAGGAAATTTACAATTGTGGTGGAAGGTGAAGAGGAAGCAGACATGTCTTACGTGGCAGCAGTAGGAGAAAGAGAGCAAAGAGGGAGGTGCTACACACTTTTAAATAACCAGATTTCTTAAGAATTCTATCACAAGATAGCACTAGGGAGATGGTGCTAAACCATTAGAAATCACCCCCATGATCCAATCACCTCCCATCAGGCCCCACCTCCAACACTGGGAATTACAATTCAACATAAGATTTGGGTAGACACAGAGCCAAACCATATCATATATATATGGTGTGAGCTTTGAAGTCAGTTATATTTGTGCCCCCATTTGCCTGCTCATGACTCTGGAAGTGTTATATAATTTTTTAAAAATCTGTTTTCTTATTGTACAATGGGGATAATAATAGTACCTACTTCATTTGTTCAATAAATATTCTGAGCACCTATCATGTGTCTGGCACTGTGCTGAGCACTGGGGATTCCACACTGAAAAAAAGAGGTATGCTTCCTGCCATTGTGGAGCTTGCATCTCAGTGAGGGAAACAGGGCTAAATTATTACTGTGTATGTAGCTAAGTGCAATGGAAAGTAATGTGCATATTATCAGTAATCCTATCTAGTCTGTGGGAGAGGTGCTCATAAAAGGCCTTTCCTTCACCTAAGTTGAGTTTTGAAGGATAAAGAGGAGTTAGGGAGGCAAAGAGAAAGGGTTGAAGACCATGCCGGGTAGAGGAAGTGGTAAATTTGAAGAGGCATGCATGTTGAAGAAACAAAGAAAGCCCAGCGTGGCTGAGATCTCATCAAATGTTATGGAGGTTAAGTGAGAGAGCAGATGGTTCTGGATATTAATTGGTATATAACAAACAACCTCAAGGCTTAGTGGCTTGAAAAAATAATACTTACTCTGATTATTAATCTGCAATCTGGGTGAGACTCAGTGAAGTTACTTCATCTCTGCTCCACTCCATGTCAGCTAAAGAAGTAGAGTGACAAACCCAGGCAGAAGCTCTATAACCTTTTACAACTTAGCCTCAGAAGTCTCTTAGCATTACTTCTGCTGTAGTCACTGACATGCCCAGATTCAAAGCTGTGGCCATAGGTATTAGCTTACCATAGAGAAGTGTTAGCATCATATTATAAAAATAACATGTTTAATGGGATATATTGGTATATTTGGTATATAATGGTATATATTGGTATATTTTTGGAAAATGCAGTCTTCTCAAAGACATACAGTATTAGTAGAATGCACATTCAGCCGGTCATAGTGGCTCATGCCTGTAATCCCAGCACTTTAGGAGGCCGCAGCGGGATCACTTGAGGTCAGGAGTTCGAGACCAGCCTGGCCAACATGGTGAAACCCTGTCTCTACTAAAAATACATGGTGGCTCACACCTGTAGTCCCAGCTACTGGGAAGGTTGAAGCAGGAGAATGGCTTGAACCCAGGAGGTGGAGGTTGAGCTGAGATGGTACCACTATACTTCAGCCTGGGTGACGAAGTGAGACTCTGTCTCAAAGAAAAAAAAAAAGAATGCACATTTGCTGGGCGTGGTGGCTCATGCCTGTAATTCCAGCACTTTGGGAAACCAAGGTGGGTGGATCACCTGAGGTCAGGAGTTCGAGACCAGCCTGACCAACATGGTGAAACCCCCGTCTCTACTAAAAAAAAAAAAAAAAAAATTAGCTGGGTGTGGTGTGCGCCTGTAGTCCCAGCTACTTGGGAGGCTGAGACAGGAGAATTGCTCGAACCCAGGAGGCAGGGGTTGGAGTGAGCCAAGATCATGCCACTACACTCCAACCTGGGTGACAGAGTGAGACTTGGTCTTGAATTTTTAAAAATGCACATTCATAGTTTATATCAGAATTGTTACTTGGTATTATCACCACCATCATCACCCAACTTCCCTCATCCTCACCACATACTTAATATAGTATTTTGTTGCTTTGAGTTACACAGCATTAGTGCACATTTAAATTTTTCATATCCGTTGAAATAACATTTTATAAATTAGGAACAACAGGTTCATGCACTTACTAGACACTTGGCATATGATAGAATATATTGTTGTAGTTACTCCATATATTGTCTTTCTTACTAGTCAACCTTCAAGGTAAGGAGTTGCTGTTACATGCCTGTAACTCTGATGTCTGGGACAGTGTCCTGCCCAGAGTAGGCACTTAATAAATGTTTGTGTTTTTTATTGTTGTTGAGCTATAATTGTGAACTTGAGATTTCCTAAGCAGGTAGGTTTTCTATCCTGTATTATTTTTAGTTCAGATCATGCAATCTATGCCTAATATATATTTTCTATTTACTCTTTTTCAGTAACTGCTGTCTCAAAGTAAAAAATGGAAATCTTTGACTGAATGGACTGGTAGCAACAGATATGAAATTCTTAGAAATGTTGGAACCAGAAGCTACTTCCCACACAATCCATGAAGTGGGGGAGAGAGAGAAAGAGAAAGAGAGAGAGAGAAACTGGGTCTTGCAGAGAGGCAGAGACAAATACTACCCAGTTCTTGACCCTCACCAGGTTTTTGGCTTTAGGTTCTGTGCCTCTCTTCCTCATGTGTGAAATGAGGCTAATAACACAGCAGCACAGGGTTGTTGGAAGAGTAAAATGAAGCAACAAACAAGAAGATGTTAGGGATGGTAGAAAAATGCTAATAAATGTCAAATATGGATAGAAAAGAAATTGGATATGAGGTACAGGTCTGTTTAATTTTATTAATAATAAAATAATTATATATTTACCAGAAAAGAAACTGCTTGACAAAATAATTCAATATACTATAACGTTAAATTCTAAGGCTTCCTGTTGCTTTAACTTTTTTTAGTAAATGTTTTTGTTGAAGTATAATCTGATTGCATTTTGGAATAATTTAATTTACAATAATTTAATTTATCTTATAGCCTTTTAAGATCACATTCACTGCAATGGGTAAAGCAGAATGTATCCATAATTTATTGTCGGGGTTAGAGACTTGAACTGATAAGGATATCGTTATCTACTGTTTAGGGTAAAAGATGTAAAATGAGTGTGCATTAAGTGCCAAGGTTGTCTCTAAAAAGGGCCCACTGTAAAAGCCAGAAGCGTGCCAGTTCAATTCAACAAATATTTAATTAGCACTTGTGATTTCCAAGGCACCGTTTTGGGTACTGAGGAGGAAGCAAAAATGAATAGCTGCTAATGCCAGCGAAAGACAAGACATGAACCAAGCAACTAGACTGGAAAGAGTGGGGCGTCATGATGTAGAAAAGGCAAAGCACAGGAAGAACCTAGTGGCGCTTAAAATAATCCAACTTTTCCTGCCTTCCTTCTTCTTTTTAAGATTCTATTTTGGATCCCTTTTCGCACGTGCCAGGTCGCTTGTCGGCAGAGAATCCTCAACCCTGAGAAATCTCTCCTCCCTATTCTTTCTTTCCTTACAAATTCGATGAGCTCTTCTGCCATCAGCACTACTTTTGGAATGGTATCTATTGTGTGGGTGGTGAAACGATGGAAAGATATTTTTGTTCTAATTATAAGAACTGTTTTACTGGGGGAAGGAGGGAGAGGCTTAAATGAAGCGCTGATGAGATGCTCTGCGAGGATCCTCCGAGGAGGCGTTACTAAGGTTACTAGAGAGAGGACTGCAGGTGATAGGCAGGGTAAAACAAAATATATTTTCAAATGAGAGCCGTGGGCTGAGCAGCAAGCAGTGCCAGCAGTACTAGATGCCGGATTCCCTAGAGGGGAAAGGAAGGCGGTCCAGGGAAAAACTGGGAGCCGCGATTTGGCGAAAGCCGAGAGCTTCTTCGTCCCTTCCGGGCCGTTTCTCCCGCTGCCCTTGTTTCCCGGAGCTGTTCTGGCTGTAGCACAAGATCGGCGCACTCGGGCGACGGTGCCATTTAGATGTAACACGTGGTCGTATAGGACCGGAAGTAGTGCCCAGTCGGGACCCGTAGGGAGAGGCGGGTAGCGGGCGACGGCGGCGGCGGTTGTGGGGAGGCTGCGCGGCCGGGCGCATGGGACCTGTCCTGCAGCGGCTCTCTCAGGCTGTGGGTCGTCGCTGCAGCTGCCGGGAAAGAAGGAAACGACGATTCCGGGGGCGAACTTGGCACACAGGGAGGAAGGGAAAGGGTGTGTGACGAGGACTGTGGGTATATTTGGCATCAGGGAGAAGGACCTCAAAACTTGCTTTTCATATAGTACTAGTTGATTGTCGGGTTTTGTTTGGTTTTGTTTTGGATGACAGATTCTGGAGACACCTGGCATCTCCATTCTTGAGTTTCTGCCGGCTCTTGTCAGTTGATTCGTAGCCTGAAGTGAGTGAGAGCTTTTTAGTTCAACCAGTGAGTTAAGAAAGGTATGGGTTGGATGGAGCGGCCAGCTAATAAAGAAATGGGAGAGTAGGAGTAAGAGTAGGAAGTGGTGTCCTGGGGGGAGGGACAAGATGATGATGATGATAGTTAACATTTACTGGGTTTCACTATAGAAGACAACGATAAAACCCTTTAGATGAGGTAACTCATTTAATCTCTATTCCTATGAGGTCAGTCATCTTACTAGCCTCTTTTTATAAATGAGGACACTGAGGCTTGGAGAGGTTAAGGAACAGGCCCAAAGAAAGACAAATGGAAAGTGCAGAGCCAGGCTGTGAATTCTAGTAGGCTGATCTCAGAATATATCTCTAAACTCCATGCTACAGCTGTCCCCGATCAAGATGGAAAGAAAGTGAGGACATAGGACAAAGAGTGAGAGGACAATATGGCTTGAACAGATGTGATAAGACAGCTGGAGTTGACCTAAAAAAGGGTATAAAATCCAGGTGTGTAAGGCAATAACAGATGTAAGGGAGGGTAGAGTTGGAACTGTGGCTTTCTAACCTTCGTCTCCAACCTTAACTAGCATCTTCCTCTAGGATTTTAGTGGGACAGAGAAGAGAGGTATATACCCACACACCTAAGTTTGAAAGTGGAGTTACAGACTTTAAAGGTTGTTTAAGATTTAAACAACTTAAAGATTATTTCTCGTAGCTACCTTATTTAATAGATGAAGTCCAGGGAGATGAAATGACTTATTCAGGGTAGCTAGGACTAGTCGTTTATCATAGATCCAATGCAATGAAGTTTAGGGACTTCTTTCCTCTTTTTCCTGCTGCACTTGCTGTCGTTATATTAGTTTTAATAATTTGATATATCATTTAACCTGGACTGTTCCTTCCAGCCATGTAAATTAGTTATTTGTGACATCAAATAGTCAAATAATCCATCCATCCATCTTAGTGTGTGTTCCAAATTCAGTGTAAAGCTGGAACCAGGAACTTCTTCCAATACAATTGAGTGACAACTGATGTCTTCCAGCATTTCTAAGAGTTTCAGTTCAAAAATGAAGTCCCAGCATTTTGGGAGGCTGAGGTGGATGGATTGCTGAAGCCCAGGAGTTCGAGACCAGCTTGGGCAACATGACGAAACCCCTTATCTACAAAAAAAATTTTTTTTTAAGTTTGACAGGTGTGGTGGTGCATTCCTATAGTCTCAGCCTGGAGAGACTGAGGTGGGAGGATCAATTGAGCCCAGGAGGTTGAGGATGTTGTGAGCCATCATGGTGCCACAGCACTCCAGCCAGGGCAACAGAGCAAGACTCTCCAAAAATAACTAGATAAATAAAATGAAACAAGAGAAGGCTGATTAGTCCAAAGGGAAAGGTGGTTTACCTGAAAGAAACTCAAAAGAAAATGGAAATCTCTACATATGTTGAAAAAGATTACAGGAAAATTTTCATCAATTGATGATGTACTGTTCATAAGTACTGTAATTCTCCTGGAATGTAGTAAATCATATTCCAGAGAGGAAATCTGGAGTAGTTGAAATTGTGGGCACAAGAATCAAGTAGAGCAGATTAGCCACTTACTGGATTTGTAAAATAGATTTACTTTACTTTGATTACTTCTTTCCTAAATGAAGATAACTTTCTAACTTGCAGAATTAGAAGCATTGTTTGTAAAGTACTTAACACAAATGTCTGGAACAAAGTTGGTGATAAACACACAGTGATTACTACTACTCTGAATCAAAAGTGAAGCATTGCTAAACCTTGTAAGCAGTCACTGCAGCTTCTAGGCCTGGTTTTCAGTGAAAAGATCAAAGAGTAGCCTTCTTTGTTCACCTAATGACAATTAAGGGTGTAAAATGTTGATGCATTTTCTGAAAGGTGTGTCTCTTATTTAAAAGTGAATGAAAGTTTTAGATGGCTAGATGGCCTGTGAACAGGAATCTGCCCACAATGATCCTTGAAAACTGTAACTTATTTTTAAATTATTCTGTTTCCTGGACAATTGGCAACCTAGATTCTAAATAGCTTTGTACTCCTTTACAGATGCATGGTCATGGAGGCTACGATTCTGATTTTAGTGATGATGAACACTGTGGAGAATCCAGCAAAAGGAAAACAAGGTAAGTACTTTTTTTTATTGATCTGTTTTTCACATCCTTTCTAGATTAATATGAAGCATAAATAACTAAGTGAAATTTTTGAATTGTGTTTACATGTGAAGACAATTGCTCTAGTGAAGTTTTCATTAAATTAATACGTTGATTAAAAATTGGAGAACAATTGTGGGAAAAATAAAACATTAATTCTGCGAAGGGGTTTATTGAAAGGGAAAGAAGAGTTTCAGATTTCTGGAATCTTTTCAGAAATCAGTGAAACCTTTTCATTGCATATATTTTTCATTCAACTGTCAAGGACTGTTTATTTGCAAATGTAGCTCAGAAGGGGCTTGAATGGTGGTCTCTTGCCAGTACTTGCCTTCAAAGTGAAGTTAATATGGAGGATGAAAGTATAATGCAGCACAGTTCTTATGGATACATGAATGAGCAGACTAAGAGGTCATGGGAAGAAACTCAAGGAAGGTTTTATTGAATTGCAAGAAACAAGAACTCTTAGCACATAAAGCCTGTGCATTATAAGCAGGATATGTCTTGGTGGAGCTGCTGTGCGTAGGAGCATTGTTCTTAGCTTTCAGTGCATAGAAACTCAGTTTTATACTTTGACTCAGGAGTGGTTGACTGATCTATACTAACCAGACTTACACACCAGGCTGTTGACTAATTTTTGCTAAGCAAACTTACAGAAATTGGCTTATCGTTTCACACTGAGAGCAATATATTAGGCATACTCACAGTGTCTGAACATTTTTGTAGGATACTCAGTCTTTGTGATAACTCAAAGGATAGTACTAATTATAATAAATTACATTTTTGATGCTTTACATTTTCTAGATTTTTCATTCAAAAATATTACTTTGTAAGAACAGAATTTGAGCAAATCTAGTTGGATACTCTGCTCCAGGATTATATTCATCACTGTAACTAGGGCTGATCGTCTATGGCAGGGTGTCCAATCTTTTGGCTTCCCTGAGCCACATTGGAAGAAGAATTGTCTTGGGCCACACACTACAGTGGAGCACACACAATTGTTGAGTCTGTTGGCTCACACTGTTGGCCTGGAGCAGTGCTGGGTCTGCATAAAATACACTAATGATAGCCAATGAGATTAAAAAAAATTGTGAACAAATGTGTTAATGTTTACAAATTTTTGTTGGGCCACATTCAAAACTATCCTGGGCCACATGAGGCCCACAGGTTGGATGAGCTTGATCTATGGTTTGTTTTCTCTATAATCAGCCTTGCTTTTTGCTTATTATTAATTACCAGAAACTTCCTTATCACTATGTTACAGATAGAGAAATTAAGAAACAAAGAGATATATAATCGAGTCTTATTAAGATTAAAGTAGTAATTGACAGAATTAGGATTTGAATCAGGAACCTAGGTGATATGACACTAGAGTCCATGCTTTTGTTAGTTTCATCTTCCCCATGTTATGGGTATTAACGTTAAGGTATTAATTAAGCTATTTAAGGAAATGTAAAATACCTTGTTAAAGATCAGTGAGTCTCCTTAAAGCTAAGACTTACATTCTTTAAAGTATATTCCAATTATGAAAATACAAAGAATTAGAAAATAACCTTTGGAAAAAATGAACTCCTATTTTCTTCTTATATACCAGGACAGTTGAAGATGACTTACTGCTCCAAAAACCATTTCAGAAAGAAAAGCATGGAAAGGTGGCCCATAAACAAGTTGCAGCGGAATTGCTGGATAGGTATGGTATTTCAATGTCAATTCTATTTCTTGGTTTAAGTTGCTTCATCAACTATGGACTAAAAGATTTGATTATGTTAATTTGAATATAGACATTTTGAATTTTCTTTAAAAAATTTGTTTTAACAGGGAAGAAGCAAGAAATAGAAGGTTTCATCTCATAGCTATGGATGCTGTATCCTTTTTGTATTTCCAGATTTTTATAACTAGTAGAATATTTTAAAATCTGCTTTTTTGTTTTATAAAATTTTGTGAAGTCAAATAGGCCTTTTTATTTTTAAAGATAAGTATTTAGTGATGTAGGATTTTGCCATTTATACTTTTGGGTACAATTCTCTTTTACTAATATATAGGAAAGATTTAGAGACAAAAATAATGAAACATATTACTAGTACTCTATAAATAGGTTTATAAAGTACATGAATCTGCAAATATATTTTCCTAATTGTTTTTTCAAGCTTTCAACATTTCCTTTTCGTATACTTATCTTTAGTCTCATTTTAATTTATGCTTTTCCTACCTAGTTCTTTGCTATTTAAGGTCTCTACAAAACTTGTATTTAAAATTAGGTCTATCCAGCCTGTCCCTGGATCTAAGGAAAAAGTAGAAATAAAATGAGGCCTGCCTGTGGACTGTCCTCAGGCCTGCCATGGCTTTAATTTTTAGGCATGACTTAAAGCTATCTTTAAGATAAACCCTGCCTTCTGGTTATAGCCATTTCTCAACTCAGTTTTTTAATAAGACTGGCTAATGATGCTTAACTGCTACGCTGGCCATCCATACTGCTGTTGAGAATATTGGAGAATTAAAGAGAGACCAAGCAAGAACTGAAGTATCTTTGGGTATTTATTGCTGTGATCAGAATTGGGAGAAGGAGACAGTGTCAATTTGATACGCCCCGTACCTGTAATCATCTGTTTCACTGTGTTATTCCAATATTTTTCTTTAAGTTATAGAAGTACCATTGTGTCACTAATTGATTTATTCCTCTTATCTCCTAACCTAGTAGCTTAGCTTTTCCATGGATCTCATCTGCCGTTTGTTCCTTTAGCATTTAAACATTTGCTCTGCCTTCTCTGACACCCACTGCATTGGGGGCACCTAGTTAGAGCCTGGTGAGAGTGAAAGTATAGACACTCCTTTTCTGGCATAGGTGGAGGTGGAGCCACAGTTTTTTTGTTTGTTTTTTGTTTTGTGTTTGAGGATTTATTTTATTTTATTTTTTTCTTTATTTTATTTTATTACTTTAAATTCTGGTATACATGTGCAGAACATGCAGATTTGTTACATAGGGTATACATGTGCCATGGTGGTTTACTGTACCTGTCAACCCGTCACCCTCGCCCTTCCCTGCCCACAGGCTCCAGTGTGTTTTGTTCCCCTCCCTGTGTCCATGTGTTCTCATTGTTCAGCTCCCATTTATGGGTGAGAACATGTGGTGTTTGGTTTTCTGTTCCTGTGTTGGTTTGCTGAGGATGGTGGCTTCCAGCTTCATCCATGTCCCTGCAAAGGACATGATCTCGTTCCTTTTTGTGATTGCATAGTATTCCATGGTGTATATGTACCACATTTTCTTTATCTAGTCTATCATTGATGGACATTTGAATTGGTTCCATGTGTTTGCTATTGTGAATAGTGCTGCAATAAACACACATGTGCATGTATCTTTATAATAGAATGATTTATATTCCTTTTGGTATATACCCAGTAATGGGATTGCTGGATCAAATGATATTTCTGGTTCTAGGTCCTTGAGGAATTGCCACATCGTCTTCCATAATGGTTGAACCATTTTACATTCCCATCAACAGTGTAAAAGCGTTCCTGTTTCTCCACAACCTTGCTAGCATCTGTTTTTTCCTGACTTTTTAATAATTGCGATTCTGACTGGGAGCCACAGTTTTCTTTGGGTTGTTTGACAAGAGTAAAGTAGTTATTGTCTAAAAGTTGTCTTGCTAAACTGACTCTTGGTCATTTGGTTAGAGAGAACAGGCTTTCGTTGAGGCTTTTTTAGTCCGTGCCTGTTGGTGTTTCCAGGTTGTCAGCTTCTTTACCTCCAAATCTAGGATATATGAGACAAAAAGAAAACCTAGGGAACTTGCTATCATGTCATACCATAGGTCTTCAGGAGGTCCCTAGTGGTATGCCTTCTTCCCTCTACCTTTTAGAGTCTTTTTATATTTGATATATAATGTACAAGGATTTTAGTTGTTGTTAGTATGAGGAATAGGGAGAAGTACATCTTTGCCTACTCCATCTTCCCGGAAGCAAAAGTTCCACCCGCCACCTGTTCTTGTACATAAAATTATATTGGAATACAGCCATGCTTCATTTATATGTTGTCTTTGGCTGCTTTCATGCTAAAATGGCAGAACTGAGCATTTGCAACAGAGACCATATGGCTTGCAAAGCCTGAAATATTTACCATCTGGCCCTTTGCAGAAAATGTTTGCTGACCCCAGCTCTAATAGGTTACATGACTTGCCATGGTCACGTGACCAGTTAGTGGTAGATCGAGAGCTAGAATCCAGATCTCCAGATATTTGGCTTTTCTTTCTGTCTCTCTCTCTCTTTCTTTTTTTTTTTCCCCCTGAAATAGTAACTGGTTTGTTACAATATGAAAATATCACTGTCTGATTAAATTGTCTATTAGTACACATTATGATCAATTAAATCACTGTATATCTTTAATGTAACAGTCACAGAGTATTGTAGAAGGCGAGGTTAGCTATTATATGCATGTTTGGCTCTAGAGAGAGAGCTGTTGAGCTTTTTAAAACAGTAAAATGCTCATATATTTTGTTACACTGCTTTGAAAGTAAACATGGCATTTTATTCTTTGAATTTAAAAGACAATATAGAAACTGATTTTTTATATTTGCTTTTTTTGAAAGTTTAATGTTAGGATTTCATATTATAAAAGTTGCATCTTCTACTTAGAGGCTTTATCATTGCTAAAATAGATAAATTATATTTTATGATAATGAAAGATAAATTCTACTCTACTTTTAGAAACTATAATTTTTAAATTTTTCATATTGTGATTATTAGAATGAGTGGTGGTAGGAGGCTATATGCAGTTCAGCAATAGAATAAGAAGCTGTTTTTCTCCCCAGATGGAGATATATTTTTATCACAAGAGTAGTGTACGCTTGAAAAATATTCAAAAGAAAGCCTCTACTTTACAATCTTCACTTTCAACAATTTAATATATACCCTTCTAGATTTTCTGAATGTATAAGCATGTATACTATGTGAATACTTTTATATTTTATTTTTATTTATTTGTTTACTTTTTTGAGACAGAGTCTCGCTGTGTTGCCCAGGCTGGAGGAGCACAGTGGCCTGATCTCGGCTCACTGCAAGCTCTGCCTCCTGTTTTCATGCCATTCTCCTGCCTCAGCCTCCTGAATAGCTGGGACCACAGGCACCCGCCACCACGCCCAGCTAATTTTTTATATTTTTAGTAGAAATGGGGTTTCACCGTGTTAGCCAGGATGGTCTCGATCTCCTGACCTTGTGATCCGCCCACCTCGGCCTCCCAAAGTGCTGGGATTACAGGCATGAGCCACCGCGCCCAGCGGTGAATATTTTTAAAGAAACTAAATAGACTCATACTATGCTTTTTTTACCCCCAATCGGCAATATATTATGACACCAAACAACTCCTGAGAGAATAAAATCCTTAATTTTTTGCATTTCAGTATCAAAGACATACAAAGTTTGTAAATGACTACATTTTATATTATGGTGGCAAAAAAGAAGATTTCAAGCGTTTGGGGTAAGTATCAGGAAGTTTACATAGAAGGGAATGTGGGTTATGGAGAACTTCAAAGACCCACAGCTACTGTGCCTTCTGATTCTGTCATTCTTCCCTGCTTTCTATTCCAGTTTGCCTTTTTTTTTTTTAAGATGGAGTCTCACTCTGTTGCTCAGGCTGGAGAGCAGTGGCTTGATCTCAGCTCACTGCAACCTCTGCTGCCGTGGTTCAAGCAATTCTCCTACCTCAGTCTCCCGAGTAGGGATTACAAGCTCCTGCCACCGTGCCTGGCTAATTTTTGTATTTTTAGTAGAGACGGGATTTCACCATCTTGGTCAGGCTGGTCTTGAACTCCTGACCTCGTGATCCACCCACCTTGGCCTCCCAAAGTGCTGGGATTACAGGCATGAGCCACCGCTCCTGGCCCCAGTTTCTTTTTTATATTATAAGGTAGAGATACCATCCACAGGTCCTAACTGAGTAGCTCTTCATGAATCCAGTATCTTTGAACAGGCCTCAGGTAGACTCTATACATGCTGAGCCGGGCACAACCCTGGTGATAAAAGGATATGTGAGGTATACCATGTGTCTTCTTGGCAAGGATCTTTGAAATAAGGAAATTTTTAGACCTTAATGTTTGGGATTGCTTTTTAAAAAAGGTAAACAAGAAATCTCACTCTAGCATTTCTTGCACATCAAAGTCCTTCCCATGTTTGACTCTTCTGTCAGAACTTCTTGTTTTGTTTTGTTTGTTATTGTTTTTGTGGTTTTGTTTGTTTGTTTTTGAGAAGGAGTCTCGCTCTGTCGCCCAGGCTGGAGTGCAGTGACGCGATCTCGGCTCACTGCAAGCTCTGCCTCCCTGGTTCACGCCATTCTCCTGCCTCAGCCTCCCGAGTAGCTGGGACTGTAGGCGCCTGCCACCACGCCCGGCTAATTTTTTTGTATTTTTAGTAGAGACGGGGCTTCACCATGTTAGGCAGGATGGTATCGATCTCCTGACCTGCTGATCTGCCCATCTCGGCCTCCCAAAGTGTTGGGATTACAGGCGTGAGCCACCGCCCCTGGGCTTGTTTTTGGTTTTTTAATTTTTATTTTTATTTCAATAGTTTTTGGGGTACAGGTGGTTTTTGGTTGCCTGGATAACTTCTTTAGTGGTGATTTCTGAGATTTTAGTGCACCCATCACCCAAGCACTGTATGCTATTCCTAAAATGTAGTCTTTTATCCCTCACCTCCCTCCCGGCCTTCCCCCGCCTTAAGTCCCTAGAGTCCATTATATGACTCTTTTGCCTTTGCATCCTCATAGCTTAGCTCCTACACGTCAATGAGAACATAGGATATTTGGTTTTCCATTCCTGAGTTACTTCACTTAGAATAATGGCCTCCTCCATCCAAGTTACTGCAAAAGACATCCTTTCATTCCTTTCTGTGGCTGAGTAATATTCCATGGTGTATATATATATATATATATATATATATACACACACACACCACCTTTTCTTTATCCACTCATTGGTTAATGGGCCCTTCGGTCGGTTCCATAGCTTTGCAATTGCGAATTGTACTGCTATAGTGTGCACAGGTCTTAGAACTTCTTAGTTTTATGTGAGTTTTTTTTTTTCCCTCTAACAATTTTCTGAGTTGGTAGCGCTCTGAGAAACTTTAGTACCATCTCATTTACCCCCAATTTATCTCCCCTGTATCTCCCAATAATCACTGTTTTTTTTTTTGTTTTGTTTTGTTTTTTTTACCCCCAGACTGTTAGCATTTTATTTTGAAAGATCAATCCCTTTGGCTGTCTTCCTCCTTTACTCAGTCTTCTACCTAGGAAACTGTAGTAAAATGAGATATGGAAAACTTTTCATATTTTTTAAAATTAAATCTCAGCAGAGTGGTGTTTTATAGACTTTTGGTTAGATTCTGAAACTTATTTTCATTCACTTTTCTTTATTCATTTAGTGTTGAGTCAGGTTTCTCATTCTAGCTTTGGTAACTTAGCACCATTTGTATAATTGAAACCAATGCTACAGACAGATTCCTTATCCATTTAACTTGCTTCTATAGTACTGTTTTTTATAAGTACCTTTTGAAAATACTGAAGTATTTTTATAAATATATGAACAAATATATATACTTACAAAAGAACTGTATTCATGTATTATATTTTTAATAAAATTTTCCAAAACTCACAGAGCTATTTAACCTAAATTTGACTACTTTTGTTTTTGTATTAAATTGAAAAAGTTCTGTTTTCCAGGGAAAATGACAAGACAGACTTGGATGTTATACGAGAAAATCATAGATTCCTATGGAATGAGGAGGACGAAATGGACATGACTTGGTAATTAGCCATCAGAGGCATAATGCATCAAATGCTTTAGTCCTGTTTCTCCTGTTTTCTGAGTGGTTTTTTGTCACTTAGTCAAGGTGTTCAGCCCCTTCATAGAACAGTTCAGAATCAAGGACATAAAATCATACCTAGGATTATTTGGTTCTTTTGGTAATTTTTGGCAGTTTTAACTGACTTCTCAGTGTTTGACTTAGTCTTCAAAAACATTATTTTTTACAGTATTGTGTGTTATCTTGTAATATGCTATTATATGCTGCTGCTTTAATTTTTAAAGTTTTGGAGAAAAGTCATACCTGAAAATGTTTTTTTAAATCCAAACATTACAAAGGGTAAACAGTGAAGAGTGATTCTCCTTCTCATTTGTGACTGTCATTCTCCAATTTCCCTCCCTGAGTGAACCACTTTTAATAGTTAGTATCCAGATATTCCATGCACATGTAAGTAATAGTTCTCTTAAAACTTTAATATTTATGTCATATGTATTCTTTGACATCACTTGAAAGTAGCAAACCGTGGTTGAGTTTCTAAATGTATATTTATATTTTTATGGATCTAGGGAGAAGAGACTTGCTAAGAAATACTATGATAAATTATTTAAGGAATACTGCATAGCAGATCTCAGTAAATATAAAGAAAATAAGGTATGCTTTCCATATATTTATAGAAAGAGGTTCTTATTCAAGTAAAATATTAACTTTTATTATACTGTCATGCCCCCCCCCCACATTATTCTTTTAAAGATGCTAATTCTAGACTCAGTTGTCCTGCATTTATGATGTGTCATTTGGACCATTTAACCTCTGCAGCTGTGGAGTTTACAGAAGGCCTATGGAAATTTAGAAGGAAATTTATGCTTTTTTTCTTTTGTGAGCTGAGGCATGAAAAGTCTAAAATTAAACACAAGTGGGTATTGGATCCTGTTTCATCCTGACTCTAGTCTAGAGCCTCTAGTGATTGTGATGAATGATTTAACTCTACAGAATAATGTCTTATTTCACAGATGATGTTTGAAATTGATAGATTTTAAAAATTGATTACCATTTATAGAGATCCAGATGTACATCTTCTATTACGTAAATGTCTATTCTAGTAAAATTAACATTTCAATCAGTGCTAATTAGTAATGTCAGATTTCCTTTCCCACTTTACATCTTACTTTAGTTAATATTTTTATTTTTGGTTGGGTGTGATGGCTCATGCCTGTAATCTCAGCACTTTGGGAGGCTGAGGCAGGAAGATTGCTTGAGGCCAGGAGTTCAAGACCAGCCTGGGCAATATAGTGAGACCTTGTCTCCACAAAAACTGGAAAAAATTAGCGGGGTACAGTGGTTCATGCCTATAGTTCTAGCTACTTGGGAGGCTGAGGTTAGAGGGTTGCTTGAGTCCAGAAGTTTGAGGCTGCAGTGAGCTATGATCGTGCCACTGCATTTCAGTGTGGGTGACAGTGAGACTCTAAAAAAATAAAAAGTTATTTTTATTTCTATCTCAAATGTCAAATTGTGGCTGGAAAAGGTGACCCAGGAGCAGATCTCAGTTAGAAATGTGAGAGGAGGGAAGGTTGCATAAATATGTGTTGTAGATACTGTATATTTGTATTAAGACAAAAACCTGTTTAAAAAGCTATCTTATATTTATGTATCATGAAGATTTCTTTGTCATTTAAATCGTTTGATCTCATTAGAACCAGGTTGATTTAATAATTTTTTCAGTAGTGCCTTTAATAAGTGTGTTGCTTCACAGTTTCTTATAGGAAGTAGTAATAATGTTCATTTTGTATACCCTATTTATAAACCCATGCACTTAATATATCCCCAGAACTTCTGTTTCTTGTAAGCTAGTTGTGGACTCTAGTTCACAGCTGTCTTCTCTGTACCACATCTGATTCAAAAAGCACCACAGTAATTGGAGTTACCTAAAGTTACTATATTGTAAATCAAGTGTGAAAATTATCTCTTTCTAGGAGCATGTAACAAAGGAGCTTTTTCAGCCCTGGCTTATTCATGGATTGTTCTTAAGTTGTTGGGTTTTTTTTCTTTTTTTCTTTTATTTTTCCCCACCTCCTAATACCATCATAATTCTTCAGTATTTTGTTGTTGTTGTTCAGTATCTATTGAAACTGGACTAGGTACTGTGGATTAATAGTACTCTTAAGAAAAAACTAGTCTAGTTGAGGGGAGAAAATATACATAAATAAAAATTAAATAATTGAGTTCTCAGTTTTTTAAAAAAGAATACCACTAAAAATTGTACTTTAAAGAGAATAAGCTTGAAAAAAATGTATTTTCCTGCTAGAACATGATGAGTGATTGTATTTGAGGGTAAATGCAGCAAGAAATCAGATATGACTCACAGATTCTGAGCACGGATGCTGAGAAAAATACAGAATTTGAAGGGTGATTTTTTTTGCTGGGGGGGAAGATAATGAGTTTGGTTTTGGTATACCATGTTCGAGGTGTTGGAGAAAGAGTAATGCCTTTGGTTCCCTCACTAGGATGCATTTTCTCTTCCCTTTATTTATACAAAAACAGTGTATTATTCACTTAATTAAAAACAGCTCCTAATATATACAGTAGATTCTTTTAGAGCATTTGTAGTGAATTTCCATCTTTGCCTCTTACTCCTATTCCTTTCTTTATTGCATTTCCCCTTTTTTGTTGGATCAATGTATCAGTTAGGATTAGGTCCAGCTGCAGGGACAGAGAACACTCCCCGAAAAAAACCACTGGCTTGAATGAGCTGGAAAGTTTATTTTTCGTGTACATAAAAGTTCAAGTCGATGGTCATAAAGTCAGAATCCTTGTTTACTGCTTGCGTACGTGACCTCATTGTGATGAGTGCAGAGTGAGAAGAAAAGGAGGCTCAGCACCAAATCCTGAATAACTTCAACTTTAATCCAAACTAGGACATTTATGTCAGGAAAGAATATACAGTCTTTAGTAGGATATAATGTAATTTGTTTTGTTACATTTATTATTTCCTCATAAGATTATAACCTTCTTGGTGACACACTATTTTAATAATCACTTTTTATCCTCAGTGGAATGCCAAGCCCATTAGGTAGTTGCTTCGTAAGTTATCTGGTGAATAGATTAATGAATGAAGAAGTTTGGAAACTATTACTGTTACACTTGGCTGTGCTTCAGTAGACATCCTCACATATGTTGGATGCAAGCAATCTCCACATACATATATAGGCTAAAAAATAGAATTAAACAGAGTTATCCTGAAATTTTATTTTTTCCCCTAGATTTGGAGGATTTTATTTTTGTTGGGTTTTAATCAGAATATTTTGAAATATTTTGAGCCTTTATTTGCATTTAAAATACAAAATTGCCAAATTCAAGTAATAGATTGATGATTTTTTAAAAAAAATAATTGAAATTGCCAGGCACAGTGGCTGTTGCCTGTAATCCCAGTACTTTGGGAGACTGCAGTGGGAGGATAACTTGAGGCCAGGAGTTCAAAACCAGCCTAGGCAATATAGTGAGACCTTATCTCTATACAAAATAAAATTAGCCAGGCAGGGTACACATGCCTGTAGTCCTAGCTATTTGGAAGGCTGAAAACAAACAAACAAAACAAACAACCCACAACAAACTGAAGTTAGCAAGGCATTGAACACTTTATCTGAATCCTCTGTCTTACTATAGCAATCCTGTGAACTTAAGGTTGTTACTATTTCCATTTTTATACATGAAGAGGAAGTACAGAAGTTAAGTAACTTTTCCAGGGTTAAGACCTAATGAGTGACAAGAGCTTCTTGAGTTGGGTACAGGTATGCATGTTTCTAGGCTTGAGTGGTTTTTTGTTTGTTTGTTTTTGTTGTTTGTTGTTGTTGTAGTTTTTGTTTGTTTTGAGACAGGATCTTGCTCAGTTGCCCAGGGTGGATGGAATGCAGTGGCATGATCATGGCTCACTGCAGCCTCCACCTCCCGGGTTCAAGTAATTTTCTTAAGTGTATTTTTTGTTTGTTTTTAATTTTTAGAGCATTTTTAGGTTTACAACAAAATTGAGCAGAAAGTACAGAGTTCCCATATACCCCCTGCCCTCATGCATGCATAGCATCTCCTACTGTCAGCATCCCACACCAGAGTGGTACATTTGTTACAATCAGTGAACCTACATTGATACATCATTATCATTTGAAGTCCATAGCTTACATTAGGGTTCACTCTTGATATTGTACATTCTACCGCTTTGACGAATGTGTGATGATGTATGTCTACCATTACAGTATCGTAGAGAATACTTGCACTGCCCTAAAAATCCTCTGTGCTCCACCTGTTCATCCCACCTTCCTAATCCCTGGCAACTACTGATCTTTCTACTTCATTCATAGTTTTGCCTTTTCCGGAATATCATATAGTTGAAATCATATATATGTAGTCTTTTCAGATTGGGTTCTTTCACTTTGTAATATGCACTTAAGTTTCTCCATGTCTTCATGGTTTGATATTTCTTCTTACCACTGAATAATATTAATTGTCTGGATGTACCACAGTTGTTTATCCATTCACTTAATGAGGAACATCTTGGTTGCTTCCAAGTTTTGGCAATTAGAAATAAAGTTGCTGTAAACATCTATATTTAGGCTTTTGTGTGGACATTAGTTTTCAGCTCATTTGGGTAAATACCAAGAAGCATGATTGTTGGAGTCTACTAGTTACTATTCTAAGTGCTTTTTACGTATTATCTCATTTAAACTTCTTTAAACCTCTATGAGTACCAAGGAAGTAGGTACTCATATTTCTACTTTACATATATGAGGAAGCCGAGGCAAAAAGAGATTAAATAATTTGCCCTGTACTGTACAGCTGTTAAGTGGTAGAGCTAAAATGCAAACATAAATAATCTGACTCCAAAGGCTGTACTTTTTGTACTAGAATATACTACGTCTTTACTATACCATAACCTCTTTTTTTCATGTCAGTCTTACAGAACAGGACATCTTATTTGTTAACTTAGGTATCTTGTGGTCTGGCACCTATAACTTTTAAGCTATCTTAAAGTCGGTTGTTCTTAACAGATAAATTGCTAATTGTTCAGTGTATTTTCTTCAAATCCTATAAGAAGAGAAAAATCTGTCATGGGAATTACATTTATTTTTTAGGTTGGTGAATGTCATTGTTGGTTCCATGTTTAGATTTCTGTATAATTTAAATTTAATTTAAATTTACATTGACATAAATGTAATTTTTTTATTGTCAGTTTGGATTTAGGTGGCGAGTAGAAAAAGAAGTAATTTCAGGAAAAGGTAATTCTTTAAAATTTTTACTTTTTAATAGGATAAACTTATTTCGTTAAGCTTCTGAATTGGAGCAAGAAATTCTTATCTACAAAAGTAAAATTAGAGAAGGTGTATTCATGGTACATTATTAGCAAAGGACAGAATATAATGCTTTAATAATTATTACCTTTATAATTTTGCCATTAGAACATTCAGTTGAATGTTCTACGAATTTCTAAATATGTAGAAAATATTTAACAAATTAAAGATTTCATAGCAAGACAACTTTCAACAAAAAGAAAGCATTATTCTTTTCCGTTCTTTGTTAATTTTTGGAGTAATGAATTGGTATTACTGTTTTCAGCCAAATCCACATTTTGAAAGTAGAAGTATAATTTTAAACCCAATAGAATTTTGGGTCAGGCTAGTACTCATTTTTGGAAGTCCCTGAGATTGAGCCCAAATACTTAGTCTAATAGCAAAAGACCAGACATTTGGTAGGCAATCAGTAAATGCTTTTTCTATGCATTATTGTAAATCTATTCATAATATTTTTCCTGGAAATTGTGTATCTCCATACTGTCTCTTGCTATAAAATTAGCTCCTTACTGAGTAATTGCATTTTAAGTGTTAAAGTACTGAAAACTATGTAGTAGCACTAAGGAAATAATTTTAAACTTACTTTAAAAAATATTTTAAATGGAAAGATTACATTTTTAAATGATTAAATATTTATGCTATCATTGTAGCTCATATATATCTTCCATAAATTCGATATGTTAGGTGTGAAATTGGATATGCCATGAAACAACATTAAGGAAAAAGAATAAATTTAAAGCTATTTTAACTTTTCCTAAGGTTATACTTTACTGTATGTTTTTATCTAAAATAATGAGAAATCCTGAAATGTCTATCACAATTTTAAGATGTTGTACTTTTATTGAATGAGATTTTCAGGTGAGTTTATAATGTTACCTTTTAAAAAAAAAATGATGGGTAGTCTCTACATTCATATAACTGAATAAAGGACTAGTTAGGGAAGGAAAAGAAAGCTACTGTTGTGATTTCTTTTATAAAGTTATAATTTTGTTACTATTTTAACAAAGCCTTACCTACTAAAAATATAGATTTAATAAAATACTCATTTGGAATGAGTTTAAAAGGCTGATTTAGAAATCAGTCTTTTTAGGGTGTAGTTTTCTAAATTCATTTTGATAATTTCTTAATTTTTATGAAAGAAGATTTGCTGGTTACAGATTTGCTCCTGTTGGTGCAAATTATTGTGATATAAATTAATAAAAGTTTGTCTTGTCTTTTTGCCAAAGTAAATTACTGTTGAGTCATTTCTCTTTTTTTCTCTCAGGTTATCAGTTAGTCTTTTTTTGGAGGTTTTAATATATTGTGGACGTGGTGATGTGGGTGATGTTAATAGTAGTGTCAAGTTATACTAAAATTTAGAGTATCTGGTTTGACTACATATTGTACTTTGCCTCAAAGTGCTAGAATTTTTAATTGTGTTTTTAAGGCCATCTGTGCTAGTATTTAAATGTCATTATGCTAATACTTAAAAATATTAACTTTATTATGACCATTAAATATTGAAAGGTTTCACCCAGCATAAGTGCATGTACTTTGGAAAGTGTGTTTTTTTCTTTTGGGGTATTTGTGAGTACATTTTTTGTTTGTTTGTTTGTTTGTTTCCTTAAACCAACTTTCTGAGAAATATGTCCATTCTTTAATACTGTCTTTCCAAAGTGTAAGATTCCCTAATAGGGAGTCCCTAAAATGTCTTTATCTAAATACAGTCTATCAAGCAAGAATTCTGTGACTGATTTTTTTGGTAACAGTACTTTGATTCGATACTTGTTTACAAGTTGGTTGAACGTATTACTCTGGTCAGTTTTTAAAGGCTGACTATGGCTAAGTTACATATTTTAGAAGTGCATTTTAGGGATAATACTAGATCATATAGATAAATATTGTCGCCAACTACCATAGCTAATATTGCTTTCCTTTCTGCAGGTCAGTTTTTCTGTGGAAATAAATATTGTGATAAAAAAGAAGGCTTAAAGAGTTGGGAAGTTAATTTTGGTTATGTTGAGCATGGTGAAAAGAGAAATGCACTTGTTAAATTAAGTAAGTTGATTTTAGGGGGGATATGATTGATTCTTCCAAGTTTGTCTTTAATTTAAAATTAAAAATATATAGACTTTAAAATTCGAATACAATTTTTAACATATCTTTCTGGAAGTGCTCTTTTTTCTTGGAGCTTCCCAAAGTCTCAACTTTTGAGCCTCAAATTTTTACATTTTTAGCATTACAATGGTGTTTCAGTAAAAAGAATTCTAATGTCAAACGTAAACTGGTAATTTGTAGAGTGGGGCTCTGTCCCCATTCACGTGAGAATGCCACCACATTACATAGCTAAGAGGCACAATATCAGAAAAGGCAGTGCAAAATCTCACATTAGCTGATTACTCAGTGATATTGGTGTAGCACAGATAATAAATAAATTCACTCTGTTTGACAGTATTAATAAAGAAAAACTTTAGGAAAGCGTAATTGTTCTTGACCTCAGTCTTAAAACCATAGGGAATAAATACTCCAGAATATAGCAGTTTCCCTTAGGATGCATGTTTTAGAGTCTGTCATTCTTTTATTTATTTTTTAAGCTAGTCTTCATGTGTCAGCTGTTTCTTTCCCTCATCATATTATTGCCTTTAGCCTTCTCTGGGTTCTAAGTAAATGTGCCTTCAGAGTTTCCTGCTCATACCTAATAAAAGTCAAGAACGTCCCCACATGCTACTTATGCATGTCAATACAGGCTGGTTTCTGAGTTCCTTCTGGAAGTGCTCAAGAGGAAAAGTCAGCCAGTGTGAACTGAGATTAAGGCAAAAAAAAAAAAAAATGGAACTATTTGAAAAGTTCCTTTGCGTTTGAAAATTCTTAGAATACTTCAGAGGAAATGACTATATCCACATTATTATTAGGTATCTTTGATGTGAGACACATGTTAACGTGCCTGTGGAACACAGTTTGTTTTTAGAACAAATTGACAACACATTTTTCTAAAATAGTGTTAGAATGTTTTCAATTCCTCAAGCAATCTAGTATTTTTATTATATGTATGTGTGTATGTATTTGCATTTTTGAGGTGATGAAGGTCGGATTGTTTTCTTCAGATTGTTTCCCCTCTTATAGTAATGGAATATAAAGAAAGTGCAAATTTATGATATTAAAACTAGATTAGCAGTGTGGTTATTCAAAATCAACCATTCATTGGTGTCTTTTCTTTTTAGGGTTATGCCAAGAATGTTCCATTAAATTAAATTTTCATCACAGGTAATGTCTTTTAAAATGCCATTCTTAATGTTTGGTAATCCAGGATATAGTCATTTACCTGCACTAAGTGTCTAAGTGTAGACTTGGGTGGTTGATGGTTGAATTGGTTGATCATGTAGAAAATCTGGCATTGTCGTATGGCTACATAAACCAGGAGTTTAGAAGTCCACCATGCCCTATTCTTGCCAAGCAGTTTTAAATGTAAAGGTCTATGTGGGGTGGTAGATGGATGTTAGAGTTTTTAGTTTGGAGCCAATGTCCTGACACTTTAATGTTAGAAATTACGTTGTAAAGCAGACTTCATAAAGTGGTTCTTGTGTCTCATTTAGACAGTGTTTTAGCTGGAGTTTGCTGTTCTTACAAAGGATTAGACACCTCTATACTCATTTTAACGTTAAAATCAAGGACAGGCGCGGTGGCTCATGCCTGTAATCCTAGCACTTGGGGAGGCCAAGTTGGGTGGATCACTTGAGGTCAGAAGTTCGAGACCAGCCTGGCCAACATGGTAAAACCCTGTCTCCACTGAAAATACAGAAATTAACTGGGTGTGGTGGCAGGTGCCTGTAATCCCAGCTACTGGGGAGGCTGAGGCAGGAGAATTACTTGAACCTGGGAGGCGGAGGTTGCAGTGAGCCGAGATTGAGCCACTGCATTCCAGCCTAGCAACAGAGCGAAACTCTGTCTCAAAAAAAAAAAAAAAAAAAAGAAAAGGAAAGAAAAAAAAGTTAAAATCAGGCTTTTATTGAATGAGCTTTACTGTATCTGCCACATTGAATGTGTGGGAATACCAGTGACCTGCAGTGATGGGGTTTGAAATCAGACCTGCGTTTTTAATCTCAGCTTCTCCACTTACCAGGCTTCCTCTTGGACAAACTGCTTAACCTCTGTAAGACTTAATTTTATCACCTGTAAAAATGAGGCTACTCAGGCTATTGTGGGGAATAAATGAAAGTGCATGTAAATTGCTTGCCACAGTACCTGACATTAAAGATGTTCAGACTGATTCTTTGCAACTTGCCTTTGTGATGGTCAGGTTTTATGCCCTGAATAACAGTTAAATTAGTTCAACTTTTGCAACTTTATAAAATGTATACATAAGCATATTAATTTTAGAATAGCTTTCTTTTTTTTCAATCACATGGGTTGTCAAAAAATAACAGCTTTGTCATAAATGTGCCTATATAGTACTTCAGCTGTTAAAAATAAATGTTAAATAATATTTTTAATTCTTAAAATTAGCAGAATTATTTTTATTATTTTCATTATTCTTTATTTTTTTGAGACAAGGTCTCACTCTATTGGCTGGGCTGAAGCACAGTGGTGTGATCATGGCTCATTGCAGCCTCAGCCTCCTGAGCTCAAGTGATCCTTTCATCTCAGCCTCCAGAATTGCTGAGACTACAGGTGTACATCACCACACCTGGATAATTTTTTTTTAAGTTTTTGTAGAGATGGTGTTTCCCTATGTTGCCCATGCTGGTCTCAAACTCCTGGACTCAAGCAGTTCTGCCTCAGCCGCCCAAAGTGCTGGGGTGATAGGCATAAGCCTCCACACCGAGCTGGAACTTTTTTAGATTACTGGAATAGCCTAAACCTTTATTTCCCCTTCCTATCAGTGATATTGAAAGGAACCAGAGATTTGTTTTGACCTTGACTTTTGAACTTCATTTCAAAGTGGAAATGATTCTTATGAAATAGGCAAAAGTGGTGACTGCATTAAATACTATTATAGCATTTGGTATATGTACTTTAACTTGGAAAATCTACTGAACAAGTTTTTTGAAAGTAATCTTTACCTTTGTCTCTATCCTCCTTGCCAGTCCCAATTTCAGCATTATCACCTTTTCCCATTTAGTATTTCTTTTTTTAACCTATTAAAATTAAGTAATTGCTTGCCAGCCTTGTAAACCTGGCCTAGAAGAGATAAAACTGCAACAATAAGAGTATAAATTATAAGTGGCCTGATGTTGATATATGAATTAACAATAAGCCCTTTCCGTTTTCATTCCATTATGCTTTTACTATATTCCTTTATTCTTAAGAGAAGAAATTTCTATTTACTGGTGGCTTAGAGCTGTTCAGCAGTTTCACCTTATTTGTGCTTTTTTAACATGTAGGTGGATATGGATTATGTGAAGAGAAATGAGACTTGTTTTTGTAATTTCGTTTTAAAAGGCTAAGTGATAGAATATAGAAAGAAGAAAACAAATGCAATTATAATTTGTATTTACTATGGTTGTATACAGAACTTATAGAAAATAATTATTTGTCTCAGTGTTAAGACTTTATTGTCTTACAGAATAGTTTTAATTAATATACTAGCCTAAAATATTTACAGACTCACTTAACATTCCTTATTATATAAATCACATTTAAAAAATAAGTATTTTTAACTGATTTTGGTTTTTTGTTCATATGATGGTTTTTATTTTTGAAAAGGTCAGTTGGAAAAGTTAACTTTAATTTTATATTGTTTAACATAAAGGAGAAAAGAAATCAAGTCAAAAAAAAGAAAAGATAAAACCAAAACAGATTGTGGAGAGTCATCACGTAAAAAATCCAGATTATCTTCTGCAGAAGAGGCCTCCAAGAAAAAAGATAAAGGTAAAAGGAAATTAAGATAAAGCATCTACTCACATTTATGAGCATGAAATATAATCTGCCGTATTTCATTCATCTAATTGGTGAATGCAGTTAGAATTTCATTTTATGGTAATTGAGAGGAAACTTACTGAGAATTTAGATATGAACTTAAAGTGACTTACAGGAGTTTTAAGAACTCCTCTAAATTAATTAAGAGGGTTAATTTTAGTTCATTTTTGGCAGATAGTATAATATTGCCAACAGTTTTCTAATTCCTGGCTTTGTCACCTACAGACTTGTTACTTTGGATAAGTCACTGAACTGCTTTATTTCTCTTATGTGTATAGGGGTGAGGTGAATATCTCATGCTGGTCAAGCTTGTTGTGGAAACTCAAATGAGAATGTGAAAGGCACTTTGATCAGTGCCTTTAAACAGTCTGTAATCTATAAATCAATATAAAATTATAATACTGATTTTATTTATAATGGCCTGTGTGATTTTTTCACTAGTTTATGAGGTTCTAGAAATGAGAAAGATTGTCATGTATCTGTGTTCTCAGAACCTAGCATAGTGCTGTGCACATATACTTAGAACTGCCTGCTTTTTCCTCAGCAGTCCTTAAGCTCTCTAAGACTCAATTTCTTTATGCGTAAAATGGTCATGATTCCTTTTAGAATTGTTCAGAAGTTGAAATGAGATAATTCATTAAGCAGTTTGCATAGTACTTGGCACATATTAGCTATTACGAAGGTTACTTCTAGTTGCTTTTTTGTCCATAATAAAGTAGAGTCAAATCAGCTGTAATTTATAGTGAATCATACTTAATCTAGATAGGTAATTGAATTAGATTCAAGCCAATGTTAATACAATATTTGGACAGGAGAGGGCTCTCTTGCTCCAGCTATGAAGATCATTAGATATGTTGCATTCTTAGAAGCATTTACTTCTTCTTGCACATCATGATATATTCATTATGTAGCAGAGTTTAAATCTACATGCCCTTGTGATACTGTCTACTCCCATAGCTTCAAGTATATGGTGTCACCAAGCTTTAGTCTTCGTAAAATTGATAGATGGTGAGAGGAAGATATTGTCATTTTATTGCTTATTGAGAGATGGCATTTGTAGCAGAATGCCTTTTTGTCTCTATGTTAATTATTTTCCCCTCTAAGGTAAATTTTAACCAATAAATGTTAAAAGTATCTTTTGAGTCTTAAAAAGTTATTTATCCTTATATGCTAGTAAAATATTTAATATGTCACTTAAGAAATTTGTTGCCCTCATTGTATTATATGTTTATTCTTATCACAACTGTGATACCATGTTAATCACTGCATATTCCAAATGAAAGAACTAGTCTCTACTTTATAAAATGTTACTCAGTACAATCAAAATAGATGAGGTAGATGAATACTAAGGTTCAGGACTGGGATTGGACCCTTCATATTATGCATAGATATGCATGTGATCTTCCTTATAGACGTTTTTCCTTTAGTGTTCCATCAGTAGATGACACCTATGTTGACCTAAAAACTAATATCAGAAATCTGGGGATTATCCTTGATACTTTCTTTCACCTTATTATTTATATTTAATTTGTCACCAAGTCCTGTGAATTTTACCCCCAGAGTATGTATTTCTGAAGTTCTCTCCACCCTACTACAAACCTCTATATTTTCTCTTATAGGCTACTGTTATATTCTCCTTACGGGTTCCGCCTCTGTCCTGCCATTCCACCTTCCCTCCTCTTAATCCAATCTCCATAAATCAATTATTTCCTGTTGTTTTTAGGCTGATAACCAAAATCCTGGACAAAGCTAAAAGGTTCTGTGGGATCCAGAACTTGTGTACCATACAAGGCTTGTTTCTCACCACTCCATACCTCACGTTCATACTCCCCCCATGTAGCCTTTCAGTTTCTGCAAAATGCCAAGCATCTTTCAATTTTAGGGGTTACATGGATGCTGCATCTTCTCTTCCTAAAACCCTCAGTTCTATCCCAGCTCATCCTTCAGGTCTAAGCTTTTAAATGTCTTTTCCAATCCTTTCCTGATTTCATCCCCCACCTTGAATCTAAATTAGGACTCTCATATGTAATGCTGTCATGGCTCCTGACACTTTCCATTATTACACATATGACGATGTAAAAGCCAAAAAGAGGCAGAGATTCTTCCTACTTTGTTCATTGCTATATCCCTGGCACCCCACTGGCTCATGTTCAACATAAGTAATAGTGAGAGAGTAAAAGACTTTGAAGATTCTTCAGGGATAGAAGACCAAAGCCAGGTGGAATTGAGACATCTCTTTCCTATGTATTCTCTATTTAGAGTGCCTTTGAAAGCAAAGTCTCTAGAAATACAGCTTTTTTACCCCCAACTTCTATGGTATATAACAGAAAATAACAAAATTTTAGCAAACTTTTAGGAAAACCATGTGGAACTCTTTTATACCTTGTCTGGGATCATCTAGAATTAGCTTTATCATTGATTTGATTCTTTCTTGCCAGACCACCTTAATTTGGACCAGACTTGAAGAGTAATTAATAAATGCTTAACATCTCAGCTGCGTTCGGACTGTTGGCATGCCTCAAAACAACTTCCTTTAGTTTTATTTCTATCTTGCTGGCCTCTTTTTTTTTTTGGAAGACAGAGTCTTGTTCTGTCATCCAGGCCCCAGGCTGGAGTGCTGGAATACAGTGGCATAATCTTGGCTTACTGCAGGCTTAACTTCTGAGGCCCAATTGATCCTCCTTTCTCAGTCTCCCAAGTAACTGGGACTACAGGCCCACATTACTACACTCAGCTAATTTTTGTTTTTTGTTTTTGCATAGACAGGGTCTTGCTGTTTCCCAGACTGGTCTCAAACTCCTGACCTCAAGCAGTTCTCTCACCTTGGCCTCCCAAAGTGCTGGGATTACCAGCATGAGTCACCACACCCAACCTCCTTAGCTGCTTTTAACTGAAGTTCCTTCTCAGTCTTACATTTAGCTGTTAGAGTTCCTCGGTGCTCTTACCTAGATTTCTCTAGTTTCTCTCTGTACTCCCAGTGTAATCCCATCAATTCTCATAGCTTTAGGTTACTGTCTTAGAAAATGTTAAATAAGTAATAGATGGATGAACTAGGTAGTTGAATGAATGGATAGAGAGAAAAAGTAAGAAAAATCAATAACTGACTTTAAGGACCAGTCCGCTTTAGCAGGTATGGGGAGAACAAGATATGGAGGTACACTGTCTTGGCAAAATGTTCAGAATCTTACCTGTCTCACCATCACCCCTTTCCCAAAAGCTACCTCATCCTTCAGGTTTCAGCTTAGCTCAGTTCCTTGGAAAGGCCCTTCCTGGCACCCTTTCACCTCACTTCTCCAAATAAGCTGATGTTCCTCTTACATATTCCAATAATACCTCTCACTTCTCCTTTAGAAATACATAATATCCTTGGAATAATTTGTTTATTTTCTGTAAGGGAAGGGACTATGTGACATGTTTACCTTGTTATCTCTAATTCCTGATAGTGCTTGCTCCCATAGTAGGCATTCAATAAATGTAAGTGAGTGAATCAGTGAATTCAACCACATTTTCTCAAAGTCAAAGGAACTTCAGAGATCAGTTCTGGAATCACAACTGAAAGGATATTCTTTAGTTTTGCTTTTCAAAGTATGGTCCTCTGGGCAGCATTTGGGAACTTGTTAGCAACTCACAATCTCAGACCCTTCCAGATCTCCTAACAAGTTCCCAGGGCGAATCATATGCACTAAAGTTTGAGAGGCACTGCTGTGTATCATGTGATTGTTCTGCGTTGGTTCAACATTTCCAGGGAAAAGGAACCCACTACTACCAAAAATAATGCTTTACCTTTTCAGGTAGTTGTAATTGTTAGCATGTTTCTCTTAACATTCAGCCGAAATCTATAGCTTCCTCCCTTTGGTTCTAATTATGTCCTTGGGCCTCCAAATTAAGCCTAACGTCTTTTTTACCTGTAGACCTTTGGATATTGGGAAGCAGGTATCATGTTCCTCATTAGAGGATGACAGGAAAGAATACATTTCCTATTTCCTTACCCTGTAGTTCTTATACTCTTCACCTGGTCTAAAGGGGCCAAAAACTTTGGGTTATGAGGCCTCCTATCCAGGAACATTGGAGGAATTGTTACTGTCTATCTGTCACCTGCCCTTTTTTATTTTATCATCCTTCAGAAATATTTTCCCTGAGGTCTTATTGCAGGAAGCTCTGTATCATGGTGATTTTTTAAAAAATTACACTGATAGATCTTTAGTGCCTTTCTCTCTCTGTTTCTGTCACTGGATGACCATTGTAGAGCTGAGAATTTTTGTTTTATGATGTAATTGTATGTGTTCTTATCAGTTACTGAGAACTAATGCTCATCTGCGTATGACTTTAGAAAAGATACTATAAAAAGCAAGTATTTATTTGTAAACTGCTTTCAAATGTTGAACATCTCTATAGATAATAAATTATTGCTTATATTGCAGCTAATCTGTGAGGTTTTCTTTTTAGCAATATGAGATTTTTTTTTGCAGGTATTCATTATTTTTTAAGTTTTGTGCTGGCTATTACAGACCAATGAGAACATAAGATATGATCCCTGCCTAAAAGAATGCAACATTTTAATTAGGGAGATAAGACTAAGGAACATGAAAGATTAGAAAACAGTGAAGTGCTTATCTGTAAGACTATAAGCAAAGTAGAATATTGCTAAGAATTCTGGTTACAGCTACAATGATTACACTACTACAGGATGATACTTAATAAATCAATGATGTTTCCTTTTCAGGACATTCATCTTCAAAGAAATCAGAAGATTCTCTAAAGAGTAAGTAACAAGTATTTATTTAATAAAAATATGCATTTGAGGTATTTGCAATTTAGATTTCCCATGAATTGTATCTTGCTCTGATGTGAATTATTTTTTGTTTTTGTTAATTATTTTTATACATGAGAAAAACTGTAGAAAAAAGGCCAAAGGTGTATAGGATTTATTCCCCAATTAAGGGTGTTAAGAAGTTTCTTATTTTAAGTATAGAGAGCATTAAAAATTTTTCCAGTAAATACAATGGATATATCTTTCAATTTCATATTATAAAATGTGAAGGAAGAAAGATAAAGGGATGAGGTTGAAATGGATTTAAATTAGTCCTATGGTTTTCCCTACTTTGGATCAAAACAGATTGGATTTCGTTGAGTACTGCAAATTTTACAATTTTTTTCCCTGAAATATTCCAAAAAGTATTCACGATGACTTATAAAAACATACACAATACCTTTTTTTAAGGTTAAAAAAGTCAGAATAATGGAAAAATAAGGTAGAATAGCAATGTAAAGCTACAGTTATACACACAATTGTATTCCAAAAAGTCCTGCATAATTGCAAAGATAGATCACAGATTTGTCAGTGTTCTTCCTAACAACCAAACCTAAGAGCGAAACCAGCAGTAGAAAGATGAATTGTACCCATAAGATAATAATGAGAACTCCTAGAGTGTTCAGCTTTTTCCTGGCAGTTTTGAGAGAAGAGTCTTCTCTGGGTTTATAAAAGGGTACATCCATTTGCGTCGTAACAAACAGTAGCTTTGAATCTAAACAGTAATACAGTGTTGAATTTTTTAAAGACTTGTAGTAGGCCGAAGGCCTAATAATAAGGTGTAGTTCAATAGCATATCTAATTCATTTTATACTGTCTATACTTATTTCATAGAAATTTAGAAACTTGAGATTTCTAGGCTTACTTGATTATTTTCTTTTATGATTTTGGAGACGGAGTCTTGCTCTGTCACCCAGGTTGGAGTGCAGTGGCACGATCTCGGCTGACTGCAACCTCCGCTTCCCAGGTTCAAGTGATTCTTCTGCCTCAGCCTCCCGAGTAGCTGGGACTGCAGGCACCCGTCACCACGCCCAGCTAATTTTTGTATTTTTAGTAGAGACAGGGTTTCATCATGTTGGCCAGGCTGGTCTCGAACTCCTGACCTTGTGATCTGCCTGCCTTGGTCTCCCAAAGTGCTGGGATTACAGGTGTGAACCACCACACCTGGTCACTTGGTTATTTATAAACCTAAGAATTAAGAAAAAAATTTTTTTTATGACTTTAAGATTTATTGTGGCAAACTCAGGGAAAAAAGTTTGATAATTATTCCAAATTCCAAAACTCAAATATAAACATTATTTGCGTTTAGTATAATTCTTAAGAAATTTTAAATATTCAATGATCAGAAATTTTGCACTGAGAAAAAATAGAAATTTTAAGATATTTCTTGTTTAAAAATTTAGTGGAGAGGGAGATGATGGAGGTATTCCTCTAGCTTAGGAATATAGTATATTCCTTATAATTATTTTGCTTGTACCAACTTTGTTTTCAATATATTTGAAGTATCTTAAAGCACTGACACTTTCTCTGCATGTAAATTCTAATTTATCAGGAAGTCCTTTCCTAAATTAGGTAAAATGTAGTGACAGTTTCAAAAATACTGCCAAGTATAAGATCAGTGGACCAATGTTATCTCAGGATGAAATCGTAGGTACATACTTCAACAAAGGTGTACACAGGCTAAAGTGGGAAAGTGTATTTTAGTTTTCATCCATTTCCAACAGTGAGAGGTGTGAATGTTTATGTAATATAGAAAAAATTCCCCTTTTTCAGTTCTAATTTTTTATTATTAAAAAATCTTTTGGGGGAAATTCTTGAATCACTGATTTATATTATTCTTTTATTTCTTCTGCCTGCTTTCTCCCTCCCACTGTCTTTCACCCCTGCCCTCTGAATCCTTCCCTGCCTCCTAGAAGTAGCACTTAATGCTCTTTTACCTCTCCTCAGCTAGGTCAAATTTTTACTAGTAGAAGCAGGGTGAATACTGTGAAGACTATATCCAATCTGAGAAACCTGTAGCTAGTTTGGCCTTGAAAAGGCAAATTATCCACTTCAAGCTGACCTGCTGTTTGGCAGCCAGAAAGTTATTTACCATAGTAAGCAGGAAACATACACATTGTTATGGTATGCCAACCCCAGATATCCTCTCAGGCGGTCAGTCATCTGTATTACATGGTCTTGGCAATTTCAGACCTCACATTTTGCTATTTATTTTATTTCCATTTGGACAATACTCAGTTACCTTCTTCACTCATTTGACTTCTGGATTATTAAAACCAAATCCATGGAGAAAAACTCAATTTCTGTTGGCACAGTAACAAGTGCTTTAGATATGTTACCTCATTTCATCTAATGTGCATATAATATCCTCATTTTGTAGATGAGAAAAATCAAGACCTAGAGAATGTCTTTAAATGAATGAAGAAACTCAGTTTTTAAAAATTATATATTTAAAGTGTACAACTTGATGATTTGCTGCCCTTTTAACATATTTCAAGTGTTGTTATCTGTGGTCACCTTGCACATGAGACCGCCCAAGAACCAGAGAATTGAAGCAAAGTGTCCAAGGTCAAATAGTTAGTGGTAAAGCTGGGATTAAACAGAAGTTTATAATTCCAAAGTCTATGCCCTTTACCTGTATCAATCAATAACTGCTTATCAGTGAAATCAACTGTATGTCTATTCTTTATACCCCAGTTTTGGCATATGCATTGTACAGATCCACATTAAATGATTTCATCTGTCTATGTTTCACTTCTGTCTGTAAAATGAGTATAAAGAGACCTACTTTGTTGGATTATTATCAGAATCAAATGAGAAAACATATGTGTAAAGTATGTGCCTGACACAAAGTAAGTCCTTGATAACCTGTAGTTATCATTGTTATCGGAGAAAAGAAAAATACAGACATATAAATCCTGTGTTTGTTCTCTGGAATTGATGAAATCAAAAGTTAAGTCTGTAAAAATCTGACCTGTCCATTTGTTACCATGATTATTGGAGACATTTGCCATTGCTTCAGTAGGGCAAGTTACTAGTTACCATATAATATCCACAAAAACCAAGATGATAGGCCTACTTATTATTCAAAATATGTAGGGAAAATTGTGTACAATTTATTTAGGCACCACACTCTAAAGGAAACATTGAAAACTTGAAGCAGGTCAAGAAGAAAAAAACTGAGATATTGCGAGAACTTGAAATTATGTTGTAGGAAGAATGTTGGAGTAACTGCAGATGTTTACCTGGGAGAAGAGTGAAGGGATGGGAGGGAAGAGGTGAGGAAGCAGACATGGAAATTACTGTATGGAAATTACTGCAAGGCTTCTACTATGTAGGAGACTTATTTTTTATGACTCTGGGTTGGCAGAACTGCCCAAAGACAGATTTTTGCCTTAATTTAAGGAAAAACTTGTCCCTTAGAACTGCCTGACAAAAGAAATGGAGAAATGGGCTGCCTCTGGAGTAGTGAGTGTTCCAGCATGAATTGAATTGGCACTTGTTAGTGGAGGTGTTGCAGTGAGAGGTTCATTCATTGGATAAGTGTTGGATTAAATGACTTCCAGGTTCCCCTTTCAACTCAGAAAGTCAGTGACTTAAATTCCAATCCCTACTTACCAATAATTACTGAATAGATTTGACAGTGATGCATTCTTTTGTGTTGCCTGTTCTTCCAATTGTTATGTCCTTAGTAATACCCCTCCCGCCCCTGGCAGGTTGTAACAGTTATGATAGCAATGATTTGTAGTGACTGCCAACCCTCAGGGAACCAGGATACTATAGATTCATAGGGTTATAAGGGACCGTAAAGGTCATTTAGTCCAGTCTTGTAGACTTGATTCTTTAGGGATATCTGGCCACTTTTTTAATGGGTATTTTTTAAGGCAGTTATTTTATAATGTTACTCTAAACTGACTTGATTTTTTAGTAAAATTGATTGACTGGTATCAGAAAGCTGGTGTAAGAAAGCTGGCATGTGGGAAGTACTCTTGGAAGAGAACAAGATAACAGCTGTCCACTTCTAAAGGCCTTGTAGGTTTTGTTCTCTGGGATCATTAACATTAGCAGAATAATACACTAGTAATAACCTTACTAGGCCTAGTTAGTTTTTCTCTGCTTTCTTTATCTCATGTTAGTGAGTTTTCATAAAAATAAGAGAAGATTTTAATTCTTTTTTTCCTTCACATTATCAATTTGGGACACTGGCCATTCCAGTGATAGCTGTCATTGAGCCGGGAATCTTGTTTTCAAGATTAAAGTTTTATCATTTGTATGTAGATCATTAGAAAACAAAATGCCCTCCCCCCTTTTGCCATTTTTGCTGGAATTGGTGCCAGAATAGATTCAGTTAGGAGCAAAGTTCAGACACACATGTTGATTCAAGGATCAGAGTCCAACAGGTAAAAGGCTAGATCCACTGTAACAAATCAATGCTCTTTTACTTTTATGTTGTGTTTAACTAAAGGACATTCTGTATTGACAGGCCACATTTGTGCCACTTCTTTTTTAGACTAATAATCATTATTGGAGAGGAATTGTTTGCTAATGTAACTACTTTGTGGATTATAGTGTTACTGCATGATAATTTTGCCATATTTTTAAAATTTTAGTTGACTAATAAAGGTGATTTATTTGAAACATGTCTATTTTGTCATATTTTTATATACAAATAAAGTGTCTTTATTGTTTTTACTGATTTTGAAGGTAATTCGTGCTCATTGTTTAAAATACAAACAATTTGAAAATGTTTAAAATAGAAAGTAAAAGTATTCCAGGCCCACAGGTAATATAATCACTGCTAAATTTGGTTGGCTTTTGCAAACTTACAATACATATATAAAATTACATGTATGTATATAATATGCATATGTTTTTAACATATATGTTATACTATGCATACTTTTTGTAACTTTTTAAAAATTTGATATAGAGTGGACATTTTTCTATTGCAGTACATACAGATATGCTAATGTTTTTAAACAACTGTACAGTATTTATTTAACCAGTCATTAATCCCTAATTGGTGGGGAATTAGGTTTTTTTTTTGTTGTTCTTATACAGTGTGCATCTTTGTACATATGTATCAGAGGTGCTTATTTATATATGTAAATAATCAAATTCCTAAAAGCAGCATTGCTGGTCACAGGGTATGTGTTTTAAACTGATCTATATTGCCAGATTTTTCTCCAGAAGAAGGTTTACAAAATTTGACTCCCAGCAATGTGTGAGAATGCCAGTTTCTTCACTGAAACAAGCTTCCTCTCATTATGTAATCAGCATTAGTTCTTTAAAATGTCTGACAATTTTTTAAAAATAATTTAACTAGCTGGTCTTACATACTAGCTCAGTTCTTAAGGTGCTAATCTTAATGTAAACATGTTCTCTACAAATGTAAATCTTAACTTGCATGTCTTCTGTTAACCAAGAAAAAGAAGAAACTAGATCAGAAACAACTATATTGCAAGAGATAAATTCACTTATAAGAGTTAATATTGGAATTGCTACTTTAACTCAGTGTAACTTAGAGAAATTTCCATGAGACTTAAAATCCTTGGCCTTTTTGCTGTGACTCTTTGTATCCCTTGGCCTATTTATATATGTTTTAAAATAATTTATTGTACATGTGAGAGTGAATTCCATTTTTAGAGAGCCATAAAAGTTGAAGCTGAGTTAAATAAAAAGTTAATTATTGGCGAATAGTTCAAAATGTGTTTTAAGTATAATAGATTTTTAAAAATCATCTCTTTTAAATGAACAGGAAACTCTGATGAGGAAGAAAGTGCTTCAGAATCTGAACTTTGGAAGGGTCCACTACCAGAGACAGATGAAAAATCACAGTAAGTGCTGATATTAATAGATAATATGTACCTTTTCAATCAGTTTAGGAAGCTATAACCATGGCTTTATTAATGGAAAAATACAACATCATGGTGATCTATTTAATGCCAAGGACTGCCTAGCCTGGTAAGATTAGAGCTTATTTCCAGCCATTGTCATAAGAGCCAACACGTCCAGCTTCCTCCTGGTAAATAAATCTTTAATCAGTTCACTTTAACAGATGACCCTCTGGTCCTTGCTTGGATTTCTTCAGAGATGGCTGTTTCCTAAGCTTCCAGAGAAGCCTATTCCATCATACTATGATTATCATAAACCTATGCAAGGGAGCCCCTTGCATGGGAAGTACACTTCTACATTGCTACACTGCTATCACACTGGTCTTTTAAAAGTAAAATAATATTTACTGCTACAAATACATAATATATTTACTATGCTCAGTGTAGTAAAAAAACTACAGCCTAAGGAGATTTACCCAATTCCCCTTAGTCATTCCCCGGTATATCTTAGGCTTACATTTTTCCTTAAAAAGTTTCTTTTTTATTCACTTCTTGAGCAGACTATAATTTAAAATGAGAATGAACAGAGAAGTTATAAAGTAAGCCCAAAAAGTAAAGAGAAGCAATGACATTTCACAAGTATTTCAAAGCAAAATTTTAGGTAATACATTTAGGGAGAGGTGCCAACATATGAAATATTTTTATTTTAATCAATCTGGGTATAGTTATGATTATTCTAGAAACTAAGAATTATTTGATGGCTGAATCATGGGAATATATTGATATATAGCAGAATCAGCCAATATGTTGACTTATTTTATTTTTATTCTCATATAATGTATCATGTAATTTTTTTACTCTATTTATCGATCTTAATATGTATGCTTTTTTTTTAAATAGGGAAGAAGAATTTGATGAGTATTTTCAGGATTTGTTTCTATAAGACAAGAGAGACTTAATGTGAAACTTCATGAAGTTTTAAACTTCATGCAATTTGAAATTCCATGTAAGTTTTTATCTGCAAGTTACAGCTTGTGTGGTGTCTTTGGAAATAAAAATCCAGATTCTCTCAGAATGTCAGATGCTTTGGAAATTCATTAGTTCAATTAAAGACTTTCCTGTCCTTTAAATATCTTTTCAATTGCTTATCTACAATTCTGTTTTATCTAGCTCCTAGAGGATAGAGCTGGACAGTTTCCATTGCTCCTGCGTTTTGTAGGTTTTTTTGCACTGCCTTCATTATTTATCTTCTCTTGCCTTCATTATTTTATTTTATTATTTTTTCTTTTTCTGTTTTTTAGAGCCACCAATACTAGATTTGTTTGTTTGTTTTTAATTTTTTTCTTTTGTAGAAACAGAGTCCTCGTGTGTTGCCCAGACTGGTATTCAAACTCCTGGCCTTATGCATTCCTCCCACCCTGGCCTCTCAAAGTGCGAGGATTGCAGGTGTGAGCCACCATGTTCTGCCAGTTATTTTAAATTACTAGGATTAAAGTAGATTATGTATGTCTTTAACCTCTTTCTTTCCCATTGATAAACTGGCACCCATCTTTTAAGTACCTGCTTTCCCATTACCACCTATTTTCGGCTGCTTTTTGAGGTTTTTAGCTAGCCTGTCTCTTGCTTCCTTCTTAAGCTCTACCACTTAAGAGAGTTTGTTATAATCAAATTTGACTTCCTAGTCTGTGGATAATTTACTATTAAGTAAATGATTACCACAGGGAGCCAGTGAGGTCCTAGTAGTCTAAAACAGTTCATGTGTTCACAAAACTAACTCCCCAGCAGAGATTATGCAATAAGATAATAATTTAACTGAATAATACGATGTGTGTGTATCTTACCTCAGATACACTCATGCAAATATGAATATAATTCTGATATAGTTTGGCTCTGTGTCCCCACCCAAATCTCATCTTGAATGTGTACGCCCATAATTCCCACATGTTATGGGAGGGATCCGGTGAGAGATAATTTGAATCAAGGGGGCAGTTTCCCCCATACTATTCTTGTGGTAGTGAATAAGTCTCATGAGATATGATGGTTTTATCAGGGGCTTCTGCTTTTGCATCCTTCTCATTTTCTTTTGCTGCTACCAAGTAAGAAGTGCCTCTTGCCTCCCACCATGATTCTGAGGCTTTCCCAGCCATGTGGAACTGTAAGTCCAGCTAAACCCCTTTCTTCCCCAGTCTCCGGTATGTCTTTATCAGCAGTGTGAAAACGGACTAATAGAACTTCTATGCAGAAATATATTATAAAATGTTAACTTCTTAACTTAAGATCCTACTTGCAAGGGTCTATGGAGGTACTTCAGGAGATCCAAGCCTTTTTAGAATCTATGTGTAAACTTCTGTGTATGTTTTTTGGAGGAAAAGTACATAAATTTCAAATTTTCAAAAATCAGGTTTTCAAAAGGGTTTATTGATTTCTGAAAACAGGTAAAGATCTGCTTTTATAAAGAGCAAATGGATAGATATAGGAGAAGATGCTTGACTTGATGAATAAGAGAAAGAACATATAGAAAATGAACTGAACATAAGCAGGTATTTTATTGAAGATATACTATTTTAAACAACATTTAAACATGGAATGATTGGCATTAAACTGCACAATAAGTAATTTGTTATTTTAAAATGGTTATTATCAGAGATTTTCCTTTTATTAAACAGTTGTTATTCATTAATTCCACAAATATTTATCAGGCTTCTATTATGTGTGAGGCACTGAGCTGGGCATGGCTGTAAAGGAACCATCTAGGAAGTAATTAGGCAATCATTTCTGAACCTGTTTCAGAAAAGTAAATCAGTGTTGGGTTTATCAGTGTTTAACATTGATAGTCCTCTCACTTCTTGAAGAAATTTTTTTTTTTAACCTAACTACTTGTAGTGTGTACAAATGAATCTATATTTTTGAGGAAAAAGTGTTTGAAATGTCCAGCAGCAAGACTGATATTAGTTGTATAATATATGCAGTTAAACATTCTTATGGTAAAAATATGTCCATTGTTTAGTGGTTGTCAGAAAATAAAATTCCTGCAAAATTAAAATTAAGAATTTAACTAGGAAGAATATCTAAAGACCCTTTAAAAATAGATCAGTGTATTTGATATTTCAAGTAGGTTTATGACATCAGGCTCATTTATAAATTTATATAAAATCACAACACTTAATCCACTCGTGCACAATGACAGATAATGGGAGTCATGTTTTTAAGGAGTCTTGAAAAGGCCTCTAACACGATGAGTTTAAATAGTAATTCTCCTACCAACCTGTCTCAAACTTCGCTATAGTGCAGTCCGTGGTAGTCAGCAGACCACTTGTCTGGGGGTATTGAAGTTAGGCCTTCTTACACTCGCTCTTATACGGAGTTCATGTATTTGGCAGACATTCAGTGGTCGACATCTCTAACCTCAATACAATTTCTGGTGACTAAGGAGGGGAAGTTGTTTGAGCTGACTGATACTTTGGGGTCCAAAATTACATAGGGCTAAAGGAATAAAGTTTCTTACATGGTTTTTAAAATAATAGTGATTCTGGAAGTGGAGTTTCACAATTATTTTAAGCAGTGGAAATGAGGGAGCATGCATCACGTAGCTAAGTTGATTAATAAACAATACTCATTTAATAAACAATAATTTAAGTATGACTTACTGTCATACCTTATTTATATCTGTTTGTTGTAACATTTATTCACATAGTATTCATTCATATTACTGAGTGCCTGCCTTGTGCCAGGCACTGCTCTAGGTGCCAAAATAGAGCTGTGAACAAAACAGACAAAATAGACAAAAATCTTTCCTCATAAACTTCACATTCTAATGTGAGAGAAGCTGTCTTGCAATTCTAAATACCTAACTTATAAAAATAAAACAAATGGTGATTCATTTCTTGGCTGCTCAAAATTGAACATGGTCTTGTCTATTACAAAATATATAGGTTCATTGATCTTCAATTCATTAGAATGTAGATAGCTTGTGACAAAAAAAATCTACGACAAAATATATGGCATAACTATATTATTCTGTTTTCTAATTTTATCTATGATTATAGATAACTAAAGGAAGAAATCTTAAATATCTGGACAGACATATACCATGCAGTGGAAGTAGTTGATTGCCCTTAGTTTCCCTTAACAATTTAATATTTAGAATGCTTGGTAGGTAGTTCTATTAATCATTTTTAGAAAGTCATCTTGGTTGAAGTTTTTCCCCACTATTTTTGATAACAAGGTTCTTGCATAATCCAATCACATACTTCTTAATGCATAATATTCATTAGCTGCTTTAACTTGCATTACGATTATCCAGTTAGTATCTTGTGCATTGATACTCTTTTTAATGAAAAGAATAGTTCTGAACCGTAAAAAATATTCTTAGTTACACCCAAGATAATTGATTTCAAACTTTGAAGGCGGAGTGTACGACAAAGGCATAGTTTTAATAAACTGCCAAAAAATAGTTTGGTCATCATTCCATTCTCAAAGGTAAAAGTAGAGGAAAGAGATAAGCATTTCAGATGGAATAACATTGAATAAAATGACTTCATTACTTTATTTTCTATACCATATTTACAACACTATACATTCTGTATTGCGTTTACTCTTTTATTAAGACATGTTGAGAGTTTTTAGTTCAGGGAGTGGCTCGAGGTGTGAATCACAGTTACAAATGTTATGGGTGAATTGTGTCTCCCCCACCCCTCACCCATTTCATATATTTAAGTCCCAATCCCCAGTACCTCAGAATGTGACTATATTTGGAGATAAGGCCATTAACGAGGTAATTAAGACTAAAATGAGGTCACATGGGTAGGCCCTAATCCAGTCCTACTGGAGTCCTTATAAGAAAAGGAGATTAGGACACAGACACACAGAGGGAAGACCATGTGAAGACACAGGGAGGAGATGGCCATCTGCAAACCAAGTTGAGAGACCTCCCAAGAAGCCAACCCTGCCAACTCCTTGATCTTGAACTTCCAGCCCCCAAGACTTTGAGAAAATACATTTCTATTGGTTAAGCTGTGGTACTTTGTTATAGCAGCCTTAGCAAATAAATACAATTAATGTTTTAAAAAAGAATTTGTGACTAGTTTCAGGATTGCATATTTTTTAATTTAAAATAAATTGGCACGAAAAATGTACCCATTTTTGTCATATTTTGCACTTTTGTTGAACTTTATTTTGCCCTTGGGGTTTTTGGGCTAGCAATATGTATTTTCTTCATAGTCACAGGGTAGTTTTTCTGAAGATCCTCTTACTCTGTTACTTGATGATTCGTTGAAGTTCTTTTGAATATTTTCTGGTTTTCTTCAAAGGTAAAACGATATTTGAAGTTTAGACCAGTTAGATTATATTACAACATTAAACATGTTTTGGACTTTTTGTCATCACCACCTCCTGAATCTTCAGCAGCTAGTAAAATCAAGGAAAGCAATATTATTAGGAGTTAGTGGATATATAGTGTTTTTATTCTAACACTCCCATGATAGTAGTGTCAACTTTATAGACTAGTTAGTCATTTTAACCTAGCAAGTACTATGGATTTGACCATGTAAAAACTTGAATTCATATTCAGAGTTGGTCCATTCAAAAAATAGAATCTGGGTTGGGTGCAGTGGCTCCTGCCTGTAATCCCAGCACTTTGGGAGGCCGAGGCGGGCGGATCCCTTGAGGTTAGGAGTGCGAGACCGGCCTGGTGAAACTCTGTCTCTACTAAAAATATAAAAATTAGCTGAGTGTGGTGGCATGCACCTGTAATCCCAGCTACTCAGGAGGCTGAGGTGGGAGGATTGCTTGAACCTGGGAGGCAGAGGTTGCAATGAACTGAGATCAAGCCATTGCACTCCAGTCTGGGCGACAGAGTGAGTGAGACTCCGTCTCAAAAAAATAAATAAATAACAAATAGAATCTAATAAATGGTTGGCCAGTTAACATCTTAGTTTCTCACTGAGACAATGCAATCTGGAAATCTAAGCTTGATCCACAAAGCTCCATGCCTGGCAATACAAAATAATGATCTTAGTCCACAAAGAATTCTCTATGTAGTAGAAAAAAACTCAGAAGTAAATTTTTATGCAAATAAAGTA